AATTTAATTCAGATGGAAAAATTCAAAATATTGATTCACATCTTCAATAACAACAATAATATTAAAATAACCGAACATTTTGTGTACATATACGTAGTTTTTTTCTTTTTAAATAAACCTTCCTGAAATTCTTTATTGAATATTCAATTTAATTTAAATCTATCAAAAAAAAAAAGATCATCTGTATGTTAAATATTTAAAAGATGTAAGCATTCGAATTACTAATAGAAACGAGATTGTAAGGTTAAAGTTTTCAAAAGAATGGCTATATTTACAATGGTTTGCAAAAAACAGCTTGGTCACTTTATTTGCACTACTGCTCGGATCGGCAACGTTCTTTTTAGTATTGTTCTTGGGGGTGCGGGTGTGGGTATGGATTCATTCTTTATTTACCCACACCCGCACCCTCAGTTTTTTTGAAAACCACTGTGATCTATTTAAACGAAATATGTATGCAAAAACAAATCTGTAAAGTTATTCTATTTGTAGGATATATTTAATCGATGTTTTTTTGAACTATAGTATTCAATCTATATTTTATGTTATTTTAATAATAATCTAGTAAAAATAGATTTTTCTTTGAATTATTAATTTGTGATAATTGTTTAGTCTATTTATTTATTTTCACTTGAATTTAAATTATAAGTTAGAAAACTGGACGTATCGACCTCTATTTATTTTAAACGAAGATGTTTAATGTTATTGTCTTCTCATCTACGAATACTACCAAAGAAAAAGAAAAAGAATGATCGATAAGAACGCAAAAGAATATCCGAGAGATAACAAATTGTATACGTACATATATTATAGTACATGTAAACATGAACTTCATCTTATTCAAATAAGTAGGTTTACATCATTAGTTACAAGAAATCTTTTATTGAAGAATAAATATGACTGGATCACACAAAGAAAAAATTGAACAATTTGTACAAATGGTTAATAATCGTGATGTTAATCATCTTGATAATGTTCTTGATAATAATGTTGAAAAAAAAGAAAATTCAAAAACGATTTATTCAAATCTTCAAGAAGCTCGAGAATTTTATTCAATAGAACATGAAACTTTTCCAAAATCTCAATTTAAAAGTATAGAATTTAAAGAAGATGATTCAAACAAGAATGCAGCACATGCTACTATTACTTTCGGTAATAATATACATAATATTACATACACATTTAATTCAGATGGAAAAATTCAAAATATTGATTCACATCTTGAACAAAAATCAGAAGAATAACATTAAAACGACTTTCATCTAACTGACCATTCTTTATTCATACGTAATTGTAGTGGCTTTTTTCTCTTTTTAAATAAACTTTTCTGGAATTCTTTATTGAATATTCAATGTAATCTGAACGTATTAGAAAAAACATCAGTATGTTAAATATTTATTCATCATCATTCTATTCATAAGATTGTTATTATATAAGTAAACCTCAAGACATTTATACATGGTATTTCATAAGTAACACCCTGATAAGAAATGCGTATAACTCCATTATTAAACAAATTCAATCGTTTTAAAGAGGACAGCATAACGTTATTTTTGTGTACTACAAAATTTCTAAATATTTTTATTTCTTCAATATCTCAGTCGGAGAGAATGATAAAATCTGAATCTTTTTTGCAAACGATGTACCATGAAAATCTCTATAAATTTTACATAAACGAATTCTGTTGACTTTTTCCTTGCTCAATTATGAACTTCAATATGGACAACCTATATAGTACTGCTACTGTTCAACAGAATAAAAATGTTTGAAAGACGTTCTTGTGTAGAGCTTTCGAAGGTGCATCTTTTACCGAAAAGATCAAGGTTTTATTATTTTCTCAGACTGAGATATTGAACAAATAAAATAGTGAGTTGTCTTCGATTTTTCGCGAAATATTAGTTTTCATTTTGTCACTTAAACGGATAGTTTTTCAAGTGTATTTCAAAACTTTGCAGTATACAAAAATAACTTTATGTTCTCCTCTTTCAAACAAAAAAAATATTTAGTAATGGAGTTATACGCATTTCTTATCGGGGTGTTACTTATGAAACACTCTGTACAATAATGAAATACAACGTGTGATGATTTTTCTATTTTTTCCTATCAAGAATAGCATCATTGTCATACAAAGTATACTTCTATTGACTCGCTCGACTTATGTAGCTAAAATATAATATGATGTATACAGTAAGAACAAGAGGATAAACATATATGAGAAGGATGATGACACAGTTTATTAATTGATTTTCAACAATAGTATCGAATGACAAAAGTTATAGATATCAATGTTACAAAAATTTCGTCATTTGAATCAAAATGAAGAAGAAAGAAAACAACTTGTCAATGATTAAGAACGAATAGCCTTGACTTATGAAGTATTTATTTACTTAAGTTTATGAAAATATGACATGATAGTTAAGTTTATACCAGTAGAATGATTCAATATTTACACATGTAATTGATATTAAGGTTGATATACGATATTTTAAAGTATGATACGTGATATATAATATAACAATGAAGTTTTTTGTTTTTGTTCCATTTAACAAAATGCTTCGATCGTCGAAGGTTGTTTTCATATTTTCGATCTTCATTTTACATCTGTTTATGGTCAATGGAGATTTGTGTGCTTGTCGATGTTGTCCTGTAAAAGATTGCGTTCCACAAACCCTTCCAAATATATTTCATGTTGATCGATGTTGGTTGGGAGGTGGACGTGAATGTTTAGACCTTTGTCGGGCATTTTATCCACGAGAATGCGGTTCATCAACATCTTTTGCTGTACCTTTTTGTAACGATTCATTAACAGTTTCATTTAATATTTTTATTATTTTAATCAGTATTTTTATTCATCAATTGATCATTCATTAATTCTATCCATGTCTTTAAAATAAAAAAAACAATGCTTGTGTATACTTTCATTTAAACATCATGTCTTTTTTTTAAATTTTGTATTAAATGAAGATGATTAATTTCGAATACAGAACGATAACGAAGAGGCTTTGACGTACATAATTATGTAAGATTAAAAACCCTACTGGATCAGCGTCCGTAATGGTTAAAATATTTCTCACCATTCGCGTAGGGAGGTTGAAAATGACTTAAAATATTTCTTTTAAATTACCGATAATCCCAATGCTCATACGAAATAGGTTGAATCATGAGTATCAAAGGGTTAAGTACAGAATAAATAGATCGATGACTGATAAAAAAATAATTAATACTGGTTCTTGTGATTAACAGTATTTGCCTATATATAATGGTGATACGCATATGGTTCAGGCAAAATTTGATTGTTTTTTTCGGTCGAGAAAAGTCGTAATAATTAATAAGATAAATAACGTATCAATTACTTAAGAGAAACTTATTTTAAAATATTTTATTGAGTAGACATGATCTGAAATGATAAAACTTACTCAATGAGATAAAACTAATCATTCTATCCACCTCATTCATGAATAAAACTTTATTATCTTCTTCAAAATAGTTTTTGTTTTATATATCTACCGCATTCCACATCTCCCAAAATTTTATTTTGTTTTTTATTGAATACAACTTCTAAACTCTACAATTTTGCTAAAATTTCAAATTATAATAACAACTGAATTATTTTTTAAAATTTATATGAAATCTTAATTCTACCTGACACAGATATATAGAAAATACTGTCTGTATGTCATTGTCAATTATATTATTAACTCGAAGAAATATATGCTTTTGTATGAAAATAATAATAATGTTGAGATTTAATCAATTTTAAATGAAAAGCAAGTAAATTTAATGTAGTTTTATGTTGAAAATTTTAATTTAATGGAAATTTTCGATCTTCATTCGATCATTATCAACCTTTTAACACAACCTGATGATACAAACAAAAAGATTTTACACGAAAAATATATGAAAAAGATCATATAATAATAAGTATAAATTATCTTATATGTAGTCATCATTTAAACATAAACATCATAAACATATACCATGAATGTTCTTAAATTCATTCCCCAGCTAATATACTCAATTTGTTAATACTACTTATGTATCAATAATGTATGAAAAAATGATAATCTTGAGATTTTAATCAATTTAAATGAAAGAGTGTAGGTATATTGTTAAAAGGTTTATAATGATCGAAAGAAGATCGAAAATTTCCATTAAAATTAAAATTTTCAACATAAAACTACATTAAAGTTACTGACTTTTCATTTAAAATATGCTTTTGTCATTCTTGTATATTTATTTAGAAAATAATCTGTATCAATCAATGGTATATAAAATTAAATTTGTGAAAGATTCATTAGTTTATAGTAAAACAAATTAATTCGGATTTTAGAACTTTTAAAGAATATTAAAAAAATAATTAAATATTTTATTTGTTGTTATAAGAGACGGAAGACCATTGTCCCATCATCTGACCATACGAGTTCTTTTTATAGATGTCACTATTGAATATTAAAGAGGATTATTCATTGTTTCCACGACAATTTCGAATGACTTAAATATGGTTTGATTATGACTGTTTAAGATTCATTTTAAACCAAAAAATGGTGACATTAACAAATGAAGTAAGTTAAATTTTGAATTAATAAGTGTATATTTTACAAAAATAAATAATTTAGTATGAAAGTGATTCATTTGTTTCTGAAATGTCATTTAATGAAGATAAAAATCCAGTTGAAAATCTTCGTCGAACATTAGATATTCAAGGAGATAAATTAAATCAAATTTCATCAAATAATAGAGAAGTATATTTTGACGAAAATTTCGAATTCTTATTTATAGAAAATTTTGTTTTCCTAGTTAATTAATGTTCAAAGTCAATTAGCACGATTAAGATCTGAATTAGAAAAAAGTGAAATGTTAAGACAAACATTAGAATATGAATTAACACTTCTTCGAACACAACATGGAAAACAAACAGCATTTACACATCATTTACAAAATCAATTTAATCAAGCCAATGGTTTGAAATTATTTTTATTTTCTTATTTCTTTTTTTTTCTTTGTTAAAAGATCAAATAAAACAACTTCAATTACAAGTAGAAACTCATAATCAATATAAAGAGAACGAATTGAAAGGAAAAGTACTATTAATCATTTGTTTTTTATTTTTTATTTAATTTTCTGTATATTTAACAGGATAAAAAAATTCTCGAACTTGAAAATGAAACTGAAACATTACATGAACGAGAAAGGTTAGTACAAATTTTTTTTCATAATTTATTATTATTTTATTTTAAATAGACGAATCGAAGCATTAAATGAACAAATTCAAAAAATGGAAAGTTAGAAATTTTGAAAAATAAAATTTTTTTTGCTTTAATAAAATCGAATTTCTTTTAGAAACATTTACTGATTCGGAAACATTATCAAGAAAAAATTTAGCTCAATCAATTTTAGCGAAAGAACGAGAAAC